ATTATGGAATACTACTACAAGTTTTATTAAAAATTACTACAATTTGTATGAATTTTTACTATTTATTGTGTAAAATTTTCGTATTTATTTTCATAAAACGCAATACATTTTTAATATAAATTCATACAATGAATAGCAAAAATTATAACAATTTGTAGAACAATTCTTATGATGCATTTGGATATTTTTACTAAATATTGTAGATAATAACTCTACAATACATTCTCCACAAATATTTGGAAATTTTTACTACAAATTGTCCCTGTCCCTATATGTACTATTTATTGTAGAGAAAAAATCTATAATTCTAGAAATTTGTTCTACAATTTTTTTTCCGTGCAATTCTTCCCACCGACAACCTCCAGCAATTCCAATCATAGCAATAACTTTGACCAACAAATAGACTTCATCAGATGCTTTATTGAGAAATAAATTTACTGCATCTCTCGTCAATACCTTTGACTGCATCGGTTGATGTCCAACACTACATTTTTTTAAGAAAGCGATGATTTTCGGGTACTTTCTGATGTTTACGTTCTCTTTAACTAGTAACATTGCCTTTAGCATAGAATATTTTCCTACAAGGAATTGCTATTTATTCTCTTTGACTATAAAATAAAATTAATAAATATTGATCCAATAAAAATTACTTTAAAAAAATCATGCAGATCATACTTACTTCATCTAGAAAATAAGCCAAAAGAACATCTTCCTGTATGGTAGTCACTTTATGAAATTGTTTCCATTCACAAAACAATTTATATTCTTTGTTATATCTTGGTGAAGATTTTGATGGGATTAATTTATTTGTTGCTTCTGCAGCCTTATTTAAAATATCATCCATAACCTCCATAATTTGAAACACAAATATTGCGATCTTGTCTATTTGTTATAGTGACAAGCAAATGGCAATAATAGGTAACTATGGAAACAATTGCTCAATTGCAATTGCAAAGTAATGATGTGAAATTGCCCTATTTTCTTTTTTAGTTTTAATCAACATATTTATTTTTTTATAGAGTATTATAAAGACAGGATGAAATAAAATATCATACGATACACGTCCGTTAGGTGTTATTACAGTACTCGTTTATATTCCGGACTCGGCTCCTGCGTCGCCTCGTCCGTAAAACAACTCGTACTGTAATAAGTCACCTACCGGACTTGTAACGTAAAATACTATTAACAACCATATAAATTCCATACTATGCAAAGCCCTCAGAATGCTTGGTTTCATCAAGAGTACGTGAATGACACAAAAGCAATCATGACATTTTACAATGGCCTGGTGAGAAGTATCATGGAATACTGTTCTGTTATTTGGCAACCTACTTACACCTGTCATATCAATAGAATTGAAAGGGTGCAACGTAAATTCGTACCTGGTCTTTAAACGCCGATTTCATAGCCATAACACATGTTATCAAATAAGATTAATGCTTTGCGGCATGCAGAGCCTGGAATGTAGAAGAACACAGGCTTTACTCATATTCCTGGCTAAATTAATAGGTGGTGCTATCAAGTGCGGGACACTGCTTAAGTGAGTTCAACTATTGGTTCCTGCCCGACGGACTCGGCACACATCATTTTTGAATGTGAAAAGACAGAACCAATTACGGACAAAGTGCATTTATTGATCGCTTATGCAAAAACTATAACAAATTTTACTCAGACTGTGATATATTTAATTGTAATATTTTGGCGCTGAAAAGGGACTTGCAACTCCTCAATGTCCCTATATAGCACAAACGCTTTTCGGAAATATTACATTGGAACATTTGTAATGTATAAATATTACGAAACATTTCTGAAATATGCCTGAAACGTAAAAATGTCGTGTAAATATAATATTTCACCGTAATATTTCTGAAAGAAAAATTTGAAATCTTCTAGATATATTAAATAGTAATATTTCAGAAATGTATTATAGCTTTTTTTCTTCTAAAATATTATTAGATTAAAAAAACATTTATAAATCAACATGTTTATTTAAAAAACACAAAACTGAAACATTGATTCTTAAACAAACAAACAAATAAATAAGAAATGAATCGAGGGTATTTAAAGTGTGTAAATTGAGTTTTACTAATAAAACTAAAAATTTGTCTAAGCGCTTTCGGCCTATTAGGCCATCATCAGAGATTTCATCAGAAACTATAGAAGAAACATGAAAAATGCACTAAATTAAAAAGGACAGCAACAGACCAGTCCCAAGTAACAAGTGTTCAGTTTTACTTGTTTGGATCAACCCCCACTTCATTTGTCAAAATTTAACCACATTTTCGGTGTTGGTTCTTTTATTTTCAATTATCCAAGCTACAAGCTATGGTGGTGACTTGGGACTGGTCTGTTGTTGTCCTTTTTAATTTAGTGCATTTTTCATGTTTCTTCTATAGTTTTTGACGAAGTCTCTGATGATGGCCTAATAGGCCGAAAGCGCTTAGACAAATTTTTACAGAGTTTTATTAATAAAACTCAACTTACACACTTTAAATACTCTCGATTCAATTCTTATTACCCAGTGTGTACACACCACTCAACCTCTTCAAACAAATAAATAATTTTTATAGTTTATTTCATAAAATATAAAGGCGAATCACTTCATTTCCACAAATTTCTTTAAATGAACTAATCTGAAACAAATAGTTTTTTTTTAATAAATGCCCCAAGTAAAAAACATTACGATTATTACAATCTGATCATTAAGATTAGCCCAATCGGATTAGGTGAAGAACAGGCTTGAGATTCTGAAAAATTCGAAGCAGCAATTTTCCTTCGGAATTCGTTGGAGGGGGCTCGATTTTTTTGTATTTATCCCTGAGAAGAGTGGGGGTAAACTCTTATCATTGTATTATCACGTTTCTTTTTAATTCCAGGTATCAGCAAAATAAAAACAAACAGAAAAAATAATGGTACAACATCAATAATAAACGATACAATACTTAGGTTCACCCCCACTCTTCTCAGGGATAAATACAAAAAAATCGAGCGTACAAAAAAAACAGAATTGTAGGAAATTTAATTTTAAACAACTTTGTTTATAACAATTTTTCTCGTAAAATTGAAAATAAACGAGTTATTCTATAACCAAAAATTCACCCCCTCTTTTCGGGTATAAATCGAAAAAAATCGATCGTACAAAAAAAAAGCAGAATTGTAGGAAATTTAATTTTAAACAACTTTGTTTATAACAATTTTTCTCGTAAAATTGAAAATAAACGAGTTATTCTATAACCAAAAATTCACCCCCTCTTTTCGGGTATAAATCGAAAAAAATCGATCGTACAAAAAAAAGCAGAATTGTAGGAAATTTAATTTTAAATAACTTTTGTAAAAACTATTTTCCGTGTAAAATTGAAAATAAATGAGTTATTCAAGATACAAAAAATAACCCTTTAAATCAAGATGGCGGAGGTAACGACAACTTTGGAATCCCAACTTTTTGAATTTAGACTACCAGAGACCCCCTCCAAGGAATTCCGAAGGAAAATTGCTGCTTCGAATTTTTCAGAATCTAAAATACTAATCCGATTGGGCTAGATCAATTAGCAATTTTATTCTAATCTAACTTTTCATGGGATGAAAAACTTCATAAACTAATATTCTACTCACTAGTGTACCTTAGAGTCTAATTATTTAGTTACACTACCGTTAACGTATAACACTTAACCACACTATACTCTACTTTAACATCACTGAACTAACTAAAAAGGCTTGGTACTCTTGAGTCTTATTAGATTGGCATTGTTGAGGAGCTGGATAATCTCAAGGTTTCCATGTTGGAGCAGTCGTTGTTGGTTACTACCGGCAAATTTTTGTATTGCATTTTCAATAGTCTCCACTTTAAAGTCCCTATGAAGATCAAAATTGTAGCAGTACCAGGGTGCATCGACGATGTTTCTTAATACTTTATTCTGGAAACGTTGAATAACGTTGATGTTACTTTTACTGGCACAGCCCCAAAGCTGGCGGATCGCTTCATTTTCACCAGTTCCTTTAAATGCACTAATCTGAAACAAATTATAGGTAGTTTAAAAGGTCTATTAAGTAATATTGTTTTAAATTAACTATAATAAAACAAGCAATACTCATGCCTACACAAAACATGAAGCTCCTGTTCAATCAGCTGTAGAACTAATAAATAAAACTGCTGGAGGGACGTCAAATGTAGGTTATATTTAAATAGAAATAAGAACATAAAATGCCTATAAATTTGATGAACAAAATGGCGTCACTCGTCTCAGAGAAGAGATAAAGTTAATAAACCTATCCTAAACAAGCATTGTAATACTCGCCTCAATTTCTAAAGACATTCTGCCTATTTTGCTTCTCATATATAACAAGGCATAAATAACAAAAACAGACAACCTAAATCTATAATTATTTAGAATATAGGGTTGTCTCTGACTGGACATAGGATGAAATAAAATAAAAAATAACTCCATCTTGATCTTCTTACAAATCAGAAATTCATCATTATGTTTTGGCCTTTTACGACATAACCCGTTTAGTAATCTTTTGTGCAACATGTATACGATGTTTCAGAAACATTTTCAGTAAAATATTTAACTAAAATATTTCAGAAACTTGTGCTTGAAATGTTATGTTTGAAACGTTTGAAATATTTCTAAAACACTTCTAAAATATTGTGTGCTGCATGGGATGTAAGTTTTTTAGAAGTCAAACACGAAGAGACTGTGACTCGGATATTCGGGGTCGATAACCTTTGGTGACGTAGTAATTATGACCTTTACCAACTTTATTGGCGTATGCCTGATATATTATCAATTTTTAAAATTTAATTACATTACTTCAATAATTACTGGTAGGCAGATTTTCAAAATAACATTTTGGCACATTCTAGGAAAGCCTAAATATTAACCCTATTTTAATATCTACCTGTATTAGTCAATCAAGAACCTTGTTTGTGAAATAAATAATATGTATTTTCAACATTTTGCATTCTTTCTGTGGTTCTTATAAGTGTCTTAATTTTTTTTAGTGCAATCAAGGGTTTCCAACACCGCAGCTTGAGACCTGTAACTTCTGGATCAGTTAGTGAACTCAAACAAGTGCCCACAGAGTCCCATCTAATTTTCACTGCGGAAACGCATAATTTTCCAACAGGCGTGGCTCCATTCAGTGGAGCAACCACAGGAACAGGAGGTAGAATTAGAGATGTTCAGAGTGTTGGCAGGGGTGGTTATTGTATTGCTGGAACTGCCGGTTATTCTGTAGGAAATCTTCAAATACCAGGTATGTATTACTCTTATTGTTATCTATTTCAGATAAGTTTTTATTTGGAAACATTTATGTACCAAAAGGGAGAATACAGTGGCAAACATTCTTATCAATCATTTGCATTAGAATTTGAAATAATTCTTCTTAGAGATTAACTAAAATTAGCAAATGTGATAAAAAAAATTTGATAACGTTGAAATAAATATAAAATTTTTGTACACATAACATTGGTATTGCAAATATCAAGGTTATTATATTAACTTTGTTGGGGGTCTGACGAAATTGTTTTTTAAGCTTATGAAATGTTTAACATTATTTATATTATCTCTGTTGTTTTTTTGTTGAAATACATTTGGTTGACTGATCTCTAAAATTATTTTATTGGAATAAAATTGAATAAATAGCTGATTGTGATTTCGTTTTAATTAAACTTGTCAATCTAGGGGTTCTCTAGATTACATAAAATGTAAATATTAAGAATACTTAGTATTTAGTTAATTTAATTTTAAATTTATAACGTTTACAGGAAAATTATATTTAGCTTTTCTTAATAATTAGTTTAAATCTACATGTCCCCTACTTTTTGATACTTTATTCTAAAACACCCTGTATATTTTAATAAATGTTAACTTTATAGCTTTAGCTTCCATATACTTTTCACATTCACCTCACCTGTTATACTTTCTTAAAATAAACTTAATGAATTCAAAAATATTTACAGTTCTCTTGTTGCTACAAATAAAAATTTGTTCTAGGTCGTAGTGATTTCATATTAATAAGTTTAATAAATGAGTTTTTTCAAATAAATTTTTGCTCTATAAAAAAAGATACTTCACTTTTGAATTAAATTCATATTTTTTATCTCCCCCTTATAAAGTAATACATTTTAATAGCTTAAAACTCAAGAATGGAAAAAGATATCAACGTGTAGTTTTCACTACACTTCTTACATTTGTTGACATATTTGCCAAATGTATATTTATTTCCGAAATTGTTGAAATAAAAAATGACCTTTTTACATTGTCGATTAATAAATTTGGGTGTGTTCGTTCTTGATCTACTTTACATAAATTATTTGGCGTTACTTAACATCATTTATATTTTTTCAAAGAGACCTTGATTATAAGAGTATCAGATAATTTTTTTATTTGAAGTAAACCAGACAATATCTCCCCCAGACCTTTTAAATAATCACAATGTATACGATTTAAAAAAAAAGGAAGAAAGGGACTTTCAGATGGCATGAAAAAATATAGGGTGTTCTATTTAAAGTAAACCGATAATTTGGCTTAAATAAGGCAATTTTTTCCGATAGTTTGGGGAAAAAATATACATTTTGCAACTATGTCAACAGCAACAGCAGCAAATGTAAGAAGTTTTGCGAAAATTGCACGTCCATTCTCGGATTATAAGCTGTTAAAATGTATTACTTTATAGTGGGACACCGTGTATTGTACAAAAAAAATTGATATTCATAAGGTTTGTAATAGCTTTTATCAATCAACAATAAAAAAAGATTTAAATATGCTGCAAAATTTTTTTTAACTATATATGTTTTTTTTTTTAAATACATATCCAAAAATATTGGAGGTGAACAGTTTCATTAAAAATATAAAATATATAAGTGGGTAAGAAATGTCCAAATAATTTGGGTAAATATTGAAATGTTTTGCAAGAAGCTTATTTTTATTGAATAAATGAAACTGTTGTTAAATTTAATATTAAAATATTTGTATGTCATTATTATTTAAGATTGTCTCATATGTTTTGTACATTCAAACAAACAACTTATATTTCTTAATAATTAATGAAACGCATTTAAAATACGTCAAATTTGATAAATTGTTAATATAAAAAAAAAATGAAATGTTACATTTATAAAAAAGTAAAAAAAAATGTTTTTCTACCAGTATGTATACTGGATGTACCAAGTTATCGTTTACAGGCAATATCTCCCATATTTTAAGCAATAAAAAGATAAATTCAAATGTTTTCAATGGCATTAAAATACATTTCTAATGACTAATGACATTTAATCCTACTTCCTACTAATATATAAAGTTTGGATGTATGGATGGATGTATGGATGGATGTATGAATGGATGTTTGTTGCTCAATCACGCAAGAACGGCTGAAAGGATCTGGATGAAATTTGGCAAAGATATAGATTATAGACTAGAATAACACATAGGCTACTTTTTATCCCGAAAAAATATACGGTTCCCGTGGGATAAATTTGTTTTTGTTTTTCGCAGACATGATTTTTTGCATAGTGGTAGTGAAACATGAAAATTTGAAATACGGCTATTGAGCATAAATAAATAATGAAGTGTTTCGAGGGTTTTTGAATTTTAACATTTAAAGGAGGGGGAAACAGGGGTTAAAAGTTTGTATGGAAGTATCGATTTTTTTAAAGGTAGAAACTTGTAAATTGAGCTACTCATCACAAATAAATAATTAATGGTGTGTTTCAGTGATTTTGGATTTTCATATTTTAAGGGGAAAGGAAAGAAAGGGGGAGAAATGCAAGAAAGGGGGTAAAGGGGGAAAGGAAATGTTTGTATGGGAGTATCGCTTTTTATAAAGGTAGGAAATTGGAATTGTAGCTACTTATTATTAGTAAATAATAATAATTTTGAATTTTCACATTTAAAGAGGGGGGAAAAGGGAAGTATCGTAAAACTAAATAATAAAAATAAATAAATAAAAATAAATAAATAAAAATAAATAAAAATAAATAACAAATAAAAATAAATAAAAATAAATAAAAAAATTTGCTAGGTATCGCATGAAAAAATTTCCCTCGAGTAACGGAAATTCCAGTGAAACGGGATCGGATTAGGTAGTAATTCATTGTAAAAGCTCTTTATTTGACACATTTGTCCTAAAAATGCGAAAATTTAACATTTTTTAATAAAATAACCTATTAATGAAATAATGATACCATTCCATTGATAATGTATACTGTTATAGGTTATGTGATCTTCCTTCGACTTACTAAAATCTCATACCTGTACAAATACAAAGTAAAATGGCTTCTCTGAAGTCTTGTCTTGATAATAAAACTATTGAGGGGTACATTATTTGTGATTTATTTACGAACCACACAAACTCTGAACAAATATTTACACTCAATTAGAACTGGGGTTTATTGGTTAATTTACGAAAAGTAGAAATTAAATAAAATCAATTTGCAGCCTACAACCATGTGTAAACGAACTTCTTAGTGTAAGTGATTCAGTCATTAAATACATAAACTTAACTCTACGAAATATTAAAAATTATTTTTGAATCCGTAGGGGTAATTTTAAAAAATGTATTTGTAAATTTCCAAAAAACTTATATTTACATCGTTTCTGAACTTTAAACCGAAAGAAACCTCAGACTCTGATGTACTCTACCAATTGAGACTCGCGTATCGGGGACAACACTATTGATTTGTAATTGCTGTGGTGGGAGGTGTTTGTGTGAATGCGTCTTGTTTGTTTTCATTTACGCCGTGACTAGCAGTGGTATTTTATAAACCATAGAAGCAAATTTCACATACATGAACAAATAATAATAATGCCATGACAACAAGAACACGAAGTAACTTCTCGTAGGGTGGCGGCTTCGCCGCCACCAGAAAATTTCAATCCATACCTGGCTACGCCGACCGGCATAACACCAACGGCCCGGACACAGCTCTTCTACTCTGTCAAAAGGAGACCGATGTACAAATAAAACGCGTACGACATGCGCACTGCAAATCATTAGTGTTGTCCCCGATACGCGAGTCCAATTGAGCTGCCACAGCATGCGAATTCGCAAATTTGAAGTCGATCACATTCCGACTGTCGTCGGTACAGACAAATTCTCATCCCATCTCAGATCTCTAAAGCAACTCTTTTGACATCGTGTAGAAGGAACGACCATTTATAATTATTATAATAAAACAAATGTCTATCATTAATTTGTTCTAGTATAAAATTGTCTTACTTTTATAACTCCAGTTAGTTAAAAAATGCTACTATGCTGCTGCAGTGATACAAAATCTACATCAAAAAGTTTGTTTGCGAAAAATTAAAAACTTGTATGTTTATAAAGTGTAATTATTTAAACATTAGTTGCAGACGTTTATTAATACTATATTTTCATGTTTCATTGTTTCCGTTTTTATGATCCTATTGTTCATTTTCAAATGTTAACAATAATAGTAATTTTTTTCATATAATATATACGTAAATAAAACTAGTTTCATTTAACTGAAAAATTGCTATTTACTCTTTTGTTCAATTTTGTCTCGTTAAATATTCACATTTAATTATTTCTCCAATTTTCTCTCGAAGAGCATCAAAAATATATCTTGTACTACTTGAGTTAATCTCTAATCTATTTAAAAAAAAAATGTCTTCGTTCACAAGAACTATTGTCAAATATTCATAAATCCCAAAACGAAATCTAATGGAGCGTTAATGATTTTCATCTATAACAATTTAAATTATAGAAATAATTTGAAAATTTGGAAACAAATCTAAGAAATCCCCCTACGAATTATTAAGACCATCCTCCAAAGGTGAAAACAAATACTTGGAGAAAAAAAAAGCCTGTCGTGGCTAGGATTCGAATCCAGACATCTTTCTTCTGTACAAAAATGCCCTATGTCTAGACCATCATGACATTGACTGTCAAGATTCCTAGACGGCAGTTTGATGTGCTAATTCGAGCCAAAAGCCGTTTCAGGCTCGTTCTCAAATCTTGAAATACCTCTATACAGCATTGATGAATATGAGAAATGCATACTAAGCTCATATCTACGTCTGCATGAGTTAAACGTACATTAAAAACTTAACATTATATTAAATTCACAATTTTCATACTTAGGTTTACGGTGCTTAACGTACATTGCTATTTATTTTATACTATTTTGATAACTTATCAGTAAAAAATTGTAACAAGTTATGAACTCTTTTAAAATTGAGAAAATCGGTTGACATCCGAAAAATTGAATTTCGATTTTAAAAATATCAAAATAT